CAGAATGAATGAGTGCATTTGATGAGGTTACTCTTTTATTTATTTTTTTCAGTAGTCGTCGTTGATCAGCTTTTCCAACTTAGCATTTCTCTTGGTAAAAAAATTTTTTCGTCACACATTTCTGTTACTTATTTCTATAGTATTAAAGTTCCGGAAATTGCTCATTTCTTTATAGACAATTAGATTTTTTTTACCGTATACGGAACTTCAAAGTTTCTGTGTTTGAATTGATTTTTTTCTTGGTTTTGAAAGCAGTAAAATTTACTTTCAGAAGCTTACACTATCGAAAATGACGCTTTTTAGTTTTAGAGATACAGCAGAAAAAAAGTAGCATTTATTATTTTATAAATGTGTTCCGAAAAAAAATTATTTTTTTTTTAAAGCTTTATCTAAGCAAATTTATCTTTTATCTTTTTGCTTTGTGCTCACTATCAATTTACTTGGCTAACTTCAGCAAACGACTGTTTGTTGAGTGTTCAGATAAAAAAAAAGGAGGTTTTGATGGAGGCTTTTTTTTTGGTTTTCGAGACGATTGGCTCTAAATTAAAGAACTATAAAAATGTAATAAAAAAACTTGTAATTAGTATATGTATTTATGGCATCTAAACTATTAAAATGCATCGGAATTGTTGCGCAAAAGTTGCTTAGATAAAAGGGTAACGTTAAGGGCGTGTCAACCGTGCGAGATCGCCGAGATGTTTCATGAAGCTTTAGACTCAAACCAGAAACACTTCGATCTTACTGGATCTGTTTTCCAAGCTTAGTCTATATGCATCTGAAACTGTCCTCTCGCTATGAGCTTAATTTTTGGCTTTAGATGTGTGCTGTTCATTATCATACATACGTCTCTGTGCACGATTGTGGTAAGTTTCTGTTTCAAAATGATCTAGCAATAAATTCACGATCATATATTTCTCGTTTCCTAGAAGCCTTAGAGGTTTATTTATCTTGTTTTTGATATTGTGAACTATTTGAAACACCTGTTTTTGGTTGCTTTATTTTATTATGCCATGACTTAAACTTTTTAGAAATAATAATCTATGTATCTAAGACGTTTATTAGATTGGTGCTTCGGCTTACAGAAATTAGTAGCTTTTTAAAGGTTGACGACAATGAGGGTTTTTGCTCAGTAATTCCAAAACCTTATAACCAGTAATACTGTGCTAAAACGTAATTTTTGAATTTTTACACCGAATATAAAATGTTTCCTGCGAATATTGTAACCGATAGAAAGCACGTTTTAGTCTACAGTTTTAAGCTGATTATTGAAAAAAACCTTCACTTTTTTTTCATTATTCAATACTTGTAATCATAATTGCATATTTTAGAGTTATGAGTTTTGAATTAAATTTAAGCTTAAATTATAACAGAAATTATAAAATGTTAGATAAATGCAGTCACCTTTTCAATGATTTTTTTAGACTTTAGAAATAGGTGGAAGTGTATAGAATTGCAGCTTTAATTAAGCGGAATATAACCGTTTTCGCTTTCACTTAAACCTTGCCTTCTTTAAAACGAAAAAAGAAGTCTTTCTCATAAAAACAGCAGATGTAAGCGATAAGCCATGTTCAAAGGGATTTGCTTCTTGTCTACGCCTCTGTTTGCAGTTTACACCAATGGAAAATTGTTAAAACGAAAAAAAATGAAAAGATTCAATTGGCAAACAGCGCGTTAGTAAAGGGAATTGCTCTTCATAAACTTCATTCAATTAGAAATTGATCGTACTCGCTGTTGAATGTTAACAAAACTAAAAACCTTCTTTTCGATAAAACTAGAGTCTTTCTGATAATTTGAGTTACTCAAAAAATTTCTTTCAAAAAGCTTAGCTAGCTGTAATAAAATGAAAAGCAGTTCAGGAATTGATTAATCGGGTAACTGGCACTGTAACTTTTTAAAAGTGTTCAGATTTTATTCAATTTTTACTGAGAAACCAAGAAGACGGAAATAAAAAATTGCTGACCATTAGGTTCTAATGATTTTCCCAGTGACTTGTGATATTCCATATTTTTAACTTCATCACTTTGTAATTAAACTTTTATTCTAAGCATCCAGTTTAAATTGATCATTTATTGAGACATTTTATCTGTGTGATTTTTGATATAAAAGATTTCAAACAAAAGTCATTGAACGAATTTTATATGGCTATCAGAAGCATTCTGAGAATGCTTCCCAAAAAATTCCCACAGTTTACCAGTTTTATGAAAATTCATCAGCGGTATTTGTTTGACGCAGCAGAGGATGTTGACGTTTTCCACTTTAATTAGAAGAAAAATAAAGTGACTTTTTAATTTTGAAATTAGCAGGTACTATCTAGCTATTACTGAGTCGTCTTTTTTCAGCGATATCATATTTTTATATTTTGAGTATTAAAGTACCAAAGTAATTGTCTTGACAACTTTTGGTCAACGACAGTACATCAGAGATACTTGTGCAAAAGTTTACTGCAACAATTTTTTGAACATTACTATTTTTTTTTTTTGCTCAACAAAATATTTGGCACTGTTTTTTTTTATGGCCTAAATAGCAAAACTTCGCGGAAATCAGCGGAGGAACACCAATTTTTAAATTGCTTTTATGCGATAAAAAAAAAGTAGGGTAAACAATAAATTTGTAATAGTTCATATTGACAGCCGCTTTAATGGTTACAGATATTGTCGTTGTTTAAACCTTTCAATGCGTGAAGATGCTGACTTAAAAAGCATTTATGGCATAGAATTAGTAAAATAAGCTTTGCTTCAACAGAATTTTAGTGCTCAAAGAAAAGTGGTTTGTTGTTGTTGTTGTTGTTTTTTTTTTTAATAATATTATTATTATTTATTAAAATTAGTGAAACATATGGGTATGCCGCTAAATATTAACTCCTGACTTTAAGCAAAACTTAAAGCATTAACTTTAACTCATTTACTATACAATTAATCGCCTCTTTATTCAAAACTCTATAAAAACTTTTTTTAAAAAGTGTCTTACTACAGCAGATTTTTGTTTTTATCAGAAAATAAAATCACAAGCATTAAAAAAACCTTTTTTTTTTTCAAATATATTTTTGTATATTTGTTTTACATTTATATTTTTATGAATAGAACTGCTGTGCATTATATATATATATATGACCTTATCGCCGTCATTTACTCTTAAACAAAATTTTTTTCCATTTTATTTTTTTTATCTTCAAGATACATAATATAATGATTTATCAAATAGGTGTTAAATGTTATAGAAATCCTATAAATTATGCTGATATGTTTTTAAGCACCAGTCTGAAAGTTGGCAATAAAAAAGTTGCTGTAACAGAAAAGTTAATAAGAGATGAAAAAGAATAAATTTTATTCTTTCTTAATAGAAAGTGCAAAAGAAAAAACTGTTATCTGAAAAACTGAGGGAGTCAGTCAGCATCATTCTCTAAAAAAAAAATCCGTTAAAACACCGTCTTGTTAAATAAACATTACCAACAAGCTCCCGTCTTTCTCTTTTCTCCCTTCTTCTTACAGCTTTACTTTTTGCACTTCTAGTTCCACATTTGCGGCTAACAACAGA